AAATCCATTTGGACTTTAAAGGCTTACAACCAGGAGGAAGATTCACTAGCTCCCAAGTATGATTCTGCAAAATAGAATCAACTTCACTTTTTATTGCTTCTTTCCATAGAGGTCCCTCAGAGGAATTCACAGCTTCTGCATAATTTAATGGTTTCTTTTCTAACAAATAAGTTAGAAAATCATTTCCAAAAGATTTTTCCACTCTTGCTCTTTTGCTACATCTTGGTTCTAGTTCATGATCTGAGTCATGAATTTCATGAGCCGAATCGTGACTTTCTTCATTCATAGTTTCATTCTTTCGTTTAGATGAACTTGATCCATCATTGGATTTACAAGGAAATACATTTTCAAAGAATGATGCATTCCTAGATTCCATGATCATATTCTTGTGTATATCTGGAATTTTAGATTCATACACAAGAAATCGATATGCATTACTGTTATGTGCATAGCCTATAAAGATACAGTCCACCGTTTTAGGACCTATCTTTGTCTTCTTTGGTGTTGGAACCGCCACTTTTGCAAGACACCCCCACACTCGTAAGTGTTTGTAGGATGGTCTCCTACCTTTCCATAACTCATAAGGGGTTTTATCCTCTTTCTTTCGAGGTACCTTATTTAAAAGGTAATTGCTTGACAATATAGCTTCTCCCCACATATTTTGAGGCAAACCTGAATTTAGTAATATCGCGTTCATCATTTCTTTCAATGTGCGATTTTTACGTTCAGCAACACCATTTGATTGAGGAGAGTAAGGCGCAGTTATTTCATGTATAATTCCGTGTTGTGCACAGAATTCACCAATTAGTACTTCGTACTCGCCACCTTTATCACTTCTCAATCTTTTAATTCTCTTATTAAGTTGATTTTCAACTTCATTCTTATAGAGAATAAATTTCTCTAAGGCTTCATCTTTGCTTTTAAGAAAATACACATAACAGTATTTAGTGTTATCATCGATAAAGGTAATAAAATATTTATTACCATCTCTCGTTTGTACGAATTTCAAATCGCAAACATCACTATGAATTAATTCAAGGGGTTCGGTGTTTCTTTCAATTGTTTGAAATGATGATCTCGTTAATTTTGCCTCAACACAAATTTCACATTTATGTTTTGAATCAATTTGAAATGAAGGTATATGTTCCAAGTTAATTAATCTACGCAATGTATCATAATTAACGTGTCTTAGTCTACCATGCCATAAATTGGAAGACTCAAGCAAATAAACGGAAGACTTATTATCTTTATTGATAATTGTCATTACATTGAGTTTAAAAAGCCCATCAGTTACATATCCCTTCCCCACATACATTCCGGATTTAGACAAAATAACTTTATCTGACTCAAATACCATACGAAATCCATGCTTGTTCAACAGAGACCTAGAAACCAGGTTCTTTCGGATTTCTGGCACATAAAGAACATTGTTTAGAGTCAGCTCTTTTCCTGAGGTCATCTTCAGCAACACCTTCCCTTGGCCTTCGACAGCAGAAGAGGCAGAGTTTCCCATAAAAACCTTTTTCCCATTAATTGGTTCAAGATTTGTGAACATGTCCTTATTGGAGCATATGTGCCTAGTAGCACCGGTGTCAATCCACCATTCCTTCGGATTGGACCCAACTAAGTTTACTTCAGAAACCATTGCAGAAAGGTTTATGTTTGACACGTCTTGAGCGATGCCACTCCCCATATTTGTCTCATAATTCTTCTTCTTTGGAAGTCTGCATTCCATAGATCTATGCCCCATTTTACCACAGTTGAAGCATTTTCCTTGAAACTTGTTCTTGGAAACTCCTCCTTTTAGTCCCAACTTTGGCTTGGCAATCTTCTTGTTCTTGTGGCCTTGCCTAAGCTCCACAACATTTGCCTTAGCTGTAGTAGGATTGAACCCTTTGCGTTCAAATCCTCTATTGTCTTCTTCAATTCGAAGTCTAACAATCGCTCTTCCAGGTTCATTTCCTTTCGCTTATGCTTGAGATAGTTCTTGAAATCCTTCCACCCGGAGGTAGCTTTTCAATAATAGCAGCCACTTGGAAGGTTTCACTCAAGATCATTCCTTCACCAATTTCATGCAAGATCACTTGAATTTCTTGCACTTGACTGATCACAGTTTTAAAGTCCACCATCTTATAGTCAAGGAATCGATCGACAACAAATTTCTTTGCTCCGGCATCCTTTGTTTTATATTTTCGATTCAAGGCTTCCCATAACTGCTTTGCCGTCGTTTTTGCACAATAGACATTGTACAATGAGTCATGTAAGCCATTCATGACATAGTTCCGACACAGGAAGTCAGAGTGATTTCATGCTTCAACAGCATTGAAGACTTGCTTATCCGTTTCTCCATTGGATAACTTAGGAGCTTCCTCAGTCAAAAATCTCGCAAGATTCAAAGTTGTCAAATAAAACAACATCTTTTGCTGCCACCTTTTGAAGTTCGATCCGTCAAACTTTTCAGGTTTCTCACCATGGTGGACAGAAACCGCAGAAGGAACAGAGGATGAGCCAGGCAGTTGGACAGCTGAGGCATAGGTAGAGTTTTTGGTGATGTCGTTAGCAGCTACATCGATACCATCGTTTCCAGCAGCCACATCCACGACTTCTTTACTAGTAGCCATTTGAATTTGTAAAAGCACGAATTCTGTTTTAAGATTGTTGAGAAAATTCAAATTGGCATTAGCATAAATATTACAAACAATACATAATTGTAAAGAAACGAAATTGCAATAACAAAGTCGGAATCGATACAAATGAATACCGAGGCCTGTGTTTGACACAGTTTCCTTAAAACAGATTCGTTCCCTCCAGTACGCGATTGAGGTTTCGTGAACGTCTATCTCCCAGGATACAACGGTTGACAGCGAAGAAGAGATCACAGCACTTCCAAGCTTTCGGCGAACTTGAACAAACTCGAAAATGAACATTACCGAAAAACAGTGCAAATGCAAAGAATTTTTAAAACAGAGGAAGAATGATTTCGATAAAATAGAACGCAGGGGAGAGCATTTCGGGAATAATAACGGCCGATTAAATCTGTCGTTACAAAATCAATACGAATAACGGACGATTAAATCTGCCGTTATAAAATCAATACGAATAACGGACGATTAATTCTGCCGTTATAAAATCAATACGGACGATTAAATCTGCCGTTATAAAATCAATACACATGGGAATAACGGTTGCAGAGAGTTTGTGCTATGATAGTTACCACTTCAAATAAGTGTAACTGTATATAAAGCACTCCATAGCCTTCTTTCTTTTCCGATGTGGGAATAGTGTTTTTCCACTTCCCACTTCCAACTCAAGGGTGTTCTTTGAGCATCAATTTCTCATTCATTCACCCATCAATTTATCCCATATTTCCAACATGAGCTTGAAAATATTTAACTCGAGTAGCTCATAAGCCTAGCTAATCGAGTGATCATACTTTACATATTTTTACTACGTATACACTCGTAAAGATGAATAATTACACAATTAGATATGTATATATATAATGTATTTTCACAATTGGAGCTCGACCTCGAGCTCTAGTTGGATTTGACTAAAATCTTGAGTCCAGTCGACTGAGTGAGTCTCAAAGTCATTGGAAAATTTACTCGACTGTATGTTGAGCTTGAAAAGGCAAGCTCAATTGAGGTCGAGTATCTAGCATAGTGCAGTCTAATGAAACCTACGCAAGCTATGTGCATCCCTTCCATGTTCATGAGGAATTTTTTCAGTCTCGTACTTTCAAGCATAAACCGAAGTCCATGGACACACATGCATCACGACCTCAGCTTCTCTTTTGATACACAGATATAGCTTGAATGATGGTTGATATAAGTGCGCTCTAAATTTTTCTTTCTTTTGGTGTTTGTCTGGCCAAATTTCAACCATGCATGAATGGGGTTAATTTTCTGTGGCCGTTGGAGAGTAAGGGAGAAGTCCTTTCTAAGACAAGTGGAAAGCAAGAAAGAAAGGCAGATGGAGTGGAGAGATCTGAGAGAGTTTGATACGAGTGAGTAGGTGGGGGAAGGGTTGTGCTGATACAAAAGCAGAAAGAAAATTGGAAAAGGGCATCCCAAAAGTCTCAACCATGCATCTTTCTGTGGAGCCCTCCACAGTCGCAAATATCGTGTGATACTCTCTCTCTCTCTAAACTTTTTAAATTGGAAAATCAATTCAGAATAAACCAGCAAGAATGTATTCGTGGAAAAATGATAGTTTAACCTCAGACTTGGTCCTATGTGTATGGTGCCTTCTATGGTGCACTCGGAGACCAATCTCCGGTCATAGCCCGATGATTGTTTCTTTAATTAAGTCCTTATACAAAATGTCGCGCTGCACAAGAATTTAAAAGGTTTAAGATTAACGGGTGAAATTTACTCCCATCTAATAGGATGGTCACCACATCTTTTGAGAAGTAGCAAGGATTTATAAACCCAAGGTGTAGAAGGGGCTCTCTCACATAGCCCACAAAAGAAAATATCCGCATGCCTCCTCTGCATATTTTCTGTGGCATGCATTGATTTTATCCTCGTTCATGTGAAAGAGCAGTTCTTGTGTTACTTAAACCCTACTTGCAAAAGTGATGATACTTAGAGACTTTAACCATCTCTGAGTGCTTGTCACTGAATCATCTTTGCACAGAACTAATGTATCCCATCTTATACTCATAGCCAAAGAAGAGAAGGCAGGATCACTCTATAGAGAGAGCTACTCGATCGTTTGACGTTTTCACGGTTGAGACGGCAATAATCTCAACTAATAACAGCACGAAAGTTACATGGAGTCCATGCCTTCCGTGGTCGGTTAAGCTTACTAATAACCTAAACTAAAACCCGACAATAGTCCATCAAAAAGGCAATACAAGCTTAAAGAGGAGTAACTGTGATCTCGCAAACTACCCATTAAGCAGAACTCATCGAGAATTTATGAATTGTCATTGATGGCATTGAAACAAAGTATGTACAAACTCATTTTATTTTAGATAGGAAACAGGACCGACTTACCTGCAAGTTGAGCTTCAAACTTATAGAGACGTAGGAAGAAGGGCACGTTCCACGCTCTATCACCATCCTTGACGAAATTGGCAAAATCTCCAGAAGCAACAAAACAAAAGCAAAGAAGTTATAATGGGAATTGTAGCGCTGAAGTGCAGGCAAAAAGCTGAGTGCTGGAGGCGATGGAATAGGAGAGGGAGTTTGGAGAATAGAGGGGAGATAGTTAGATCACGAAGTCACGTGCTGTGCTTCAGTTTTGCGGAGTGGCCAAAATGCCAACCAAACATTCCAATGGGGAGGGAAAGGAGACATGGACCTACCTTTCTTTGTCGGAGAGCTTCTGTTTCCTGTACCTGCAACTGCAAATGGGTCATCTTTAATTAATTCCTCGTTGGTGGGAATAATGAAGAAACGGTTCCTTTCCATAAAAAGGCAACACAGGTTTCGCAATTATTGTTCTCTTCAGGGGGGCTCAGAATACCGGTTATTTCGGAGGGTAAACACCGCAGCGGCAACCACGCGACGCGCTCGAGTTGGTTATATGGCCTTCAGGTAGTATTTTATTTATACTCGAGGGTCCGTCACAACGTCCATTACACAAAGCGACGGTAGGGAGGCCCGAACAAACAATGAGATCTATGGCCATGACAAGTCCCCGAACACCAAAGGCATCTAACCTCAAAGGACCTAAAAGACCCACTTCTTTGTCGGCTAGGTGGCTCCCTCATCAATTTTCCTATGGAAAAACAAATTTGCATGTCATTGAGAAAAAAAGAAAATTTGCCCCACTTCATGAAAGTGAATGAAAATGCAGTTGGTTGACTGACGTTCTGGAAGGACTGTTGGCGGATGCAATGAATTGTAGCTGAAGTACAGATCATGCAAATGCAGTGTAGTGCAGGTAATGTGTTCATTGAAAGCAGAAACGAATGCATATGAAGCAAAGGAAATCAGGACCACACAACAGATGCGCCCAATATGAAATATCTCCTCATTCGTGTAGAATGTAACAGAACATTTGCAGTTCCTATCCTGACCCTTTGTCTCAAACACCAATTTTTATTTCCTTAACATCTAATTTCTCATATCAACTGTGGAACTTTACAAATGCGCAGCCCCAGTGTGGTATCTAAACAAGCGGAACAGGAAATTGTACAAGAATCAATTGGAACCAAAGGAAGCCGTTAGTGGGACTCTGACGGTACTTCTTCGAAGCCACAGCTCATACATAACCATGCAAAAGGCGTCATAATCGACCGGGGATGGATGCCACTGAAAATGTTTCCGGACCTTCATCACATTGCTTCGGAACATCGAGAACTTGTCATTGCTCACTCCCTTGAGGATTCTCTTAAGCAACGGAATGTCTAAAGTGGCAACCACGACTGAGAAGCTCTTCCAGTTCAATATGTCTGCGAATGGGAGATCGTAGTGATTGGCGATTATCACAGGGACACAACCGTAATACAACGAATCTGCAATGCGGGCTGTGTTTACTTCAAAGCCTTTGACATGGAGGCAAAATTTGCTCCCAAGAAGCTCATCAGAGTATGGCGTGGTGAGTCGGCCATAGTGAGCGAAGATCTCAGAGTCGTTTCTCCATACTTTGACAAGCTTTTCACGGACAGGGGAGTTTATACCCCCAGCAAAGAATGCAAGTTTGTTCCTGAACATTTTGACCAAGATTAGATCATTCGATGGATCAGCGACACGGGCAACCTTAAACTTGGGAGTTCTGGAGGAAAATACACACTTCTTTCCCATTCTCAGAAAATATCAAGTGCCAAAAGAGACTTGGTGCACAAACAGATGAAAAGATGGAAACCTTTAGTTTGCTTGAGAAAATGCAGAAGACCCACAAACCTTACGAAAACGACACTTATTCATGATGAGAGCCTAAAAATCATACTCACCTCTTAGACGACATGATATTGGGAGGATCCCCCTGTCTTGGCCAAACTTGAGGCAGAGAAGCATCCTTGTGAGTTATATATCCAGGAAGGAAATAGCTTGAAGAGCACACAACTTGGATGGCATTCATCTTCACCTCGCTTGCTTTATCCATGGCGGACCGACCGATGGAGTGACAGGCGACATAAAAGTGATCGGCCCCGCCTGTCCGATTCCAGTAAGGATATCTCCGAGTAATGTTCACGACGTAATCCCGTACATAATCCTGGATGCCCGCAACGCCAACTCTCGGGTCATGTCGCAACCTTGCGATGGAGAAGGGCATAAAAAACAAATCTGCCTCGGTCGGGTCCTTGGTGACGAAGTGGCTTTTCATGAGGCTCTTCTTGAAGTAACTCTCACTGGCGTAATTACCGCCAGGCTCGAAACCCACCGGCAGGAGAACATTAGCGAAGGGATCGTCCCGCCTGTGAGGATAAACATATATCTTAAAGCTCCTATTCATTTCTCTATAGTCTTTCTCGAAGACATCTCTGTTATGGTACACGTCGTGGTTATTCACATGGTCGCCTGAACCAAAAGACCAAAAATTCCCAAACACGGGCGTTAACACAATAAGCTTCTCATACATTAATGTCTCATCCCACTCACACCAACAAATTCTCAACTTTTATCCGATCAACAAGGCAGAAATTACATGTCTAGATCCGGCTAAAATGCGTTGCTCATTCTATTTACTTCTCGTATATCAGTAAAAACACCATGACAGTTCTTTGTGTATGCAAATTGGATGCAACGGTTCAAATGGGTGTGAGTTAAAATTCTGAAATTTCCTCATCTCCTGTGGAAACACTTTAGGTCGACATGTACACTTTCTAAGGTTTAAAAAGCTGAATTCATGGCACTGTTCAGCATAATGACACAGGAATCATTAAATGACATTATTATCGAGGCTTCATTAAAAAGACAACTTCCACAATTCCTTTTTGACCTCCTAATAATTGCGAACCTTCATAAATTGCAGTGAAAGAACAGGATCGAACAATTTCAGTCAAAACTCTAGCAACTCACGATAAGATCCGAAAAGTCAAAAAGGTTCGCAATTTTCACTAACCGCTGGGCTCCAATCGGTCTCCCGACCCGCTCCGACCCGCGTTGACTCCGCGACCACCGCTCCCTCCAGCCACGGCGGGGCCGGCGGGTCCGGGCGATTTCCCACCCGGAGAGCTCCCGGCGGCCCTATCGGGAGCGACCGGGACGGGCCGGCCGGCGACGGAGGACCGAAGCCCGGGCTTCTCGACGGGGAGGGTGGGCTGGGGCTGGCGGTGGCGGTGGCGGTAGTGGAGGAAGAAGATGTTGGAGGTGGTGAAGAGGTAGAAGAGGATGAGGAGGGAGGTGAGGAGGGCCAAGGTGGTGGGCACGAAGAAGAGGCCGCCCCGGGTGGAGCGGGAGAGGCGGCGCTGCGAGTAGCGGAGGAGGAGGGAGGGCGGAGCCATCTTCCATCACCGAGGGACAGCGGGAGAGAAGGGTCGTTGATGAGAATCACTGCGCTTCCTCTCCTCTCTCTTGCTTCTGCTGCCCCATGCCGAGCCGATACAGCGAGTAAGACAAAAATTGGGTTTGGTTTTTCTTCTCGGGGCCGAGTTGGAATTATCGAGGGCAGTGAATAAGAAAAAAAGGACATCTTCGCTCGAATCGCCGTCGTCGTGGGTTCGTTGAATCGTCGTCGCGGGTTCGTTCCGACGAGGGAAAAATGACATAAACAGTGCCTAAATTTTAACTCAACATGTAATTTAATCCCTGAATTTTTAATTTATTTAATATAGTCCATGAACTTTGGCGCCTGATGCTCAATATGATCCCTGAATTTTTAATTTATTCAATGTAGTCCCCGAACTTTTGGTACATGTTCAATTTAGTCTAAGAACTATATTAACATGTTCAATGTAGTTCCTAAACTTGAATTAATGAAAGGACTAAATTGAACATTTTCATATAGTTCATGGACTAAATTGAAGATGTACCAAAAGTTCAGGGACCACATTGAACAAATTAAAAGTTCAGGGACCATATTGAATATCATGCCAAAGTTCAGGGATTACATTGAACAAATTAAAAGTTGAGAGACTAAATTGCACATTGTATCAAAGTTTAGGGATTCTTTGTGTCATTATCCCTTTCAATGACGTCGGCAAATGGATTGCATAGTTGTTCTTTTACGGGGAAATTTTTAAAAAGTCCTAAAGTTATTTTATTTCTACTAGTTCGGCTCTAAATTTTTTTATTTTGTCAATCGAGTCGTAAACCTTTTCACATTTTGTCAACTGAGTCCATCCTATGAATTTTGACCTGAAATTGCCGACGTGGACGTTGGTCATTCTACGTGTCATGGCCAAGACCATCGTGGACGTCGGTCATCAAGGCCTCGTTGATGGCCAGAGAAGGTCCCTGGCCTTAGGTGAGGGCCGCCCTCACTACCCTAGCAAGGGCAAACCCTTGCCCAATTTGGCGAAGGGGCTTCCCTCGCCAGGGATTGGAGACCGTCGGCCATTGACGAGGCTTGGCGATGGTCGGGGGAGGAAAAAGAAACGAAGAAAAAGGAAAAAAAAAGAAAGAAAATTGGAAAAAAATATTAAAATGTTACTAAAAATTATCCACCCCAGTGCCAGTCGGAATTCACGTTAGTGATTTTCGGCCAAAATTAGTCAGATAGAGTTAATTGGCAAAATATGAAAAGGTTTATGACAAAATTGGCAAAATTTAGGACTGAATTGATAAAAATAAACTAAATTTAGGACTTTTTGAAAAATATTTCCCTATTCTTTCTCATTTTCAAGTGAACCGGGTCTAAAACCAGTCATTAGATCCAAAACCAGCTTGCAGATGCTAATGAGGTGTCCTCGACCTGATTAAGGATTCCCCCATTTTGAGAAATATTCTATTAGACCAAGTGCGGGCGAATCCTCTTGTCATATCACATGCGGGTCCTTTGAATTTTATCTATTAGACCAAGTGCAGGCGAATCCTCTTGTCATATCACATGCGGGTCCTTTGAATTTTATTGAGTGCCACATTGCGAACGCATTGTCTAATCTAAAAATGTTGAATCGGGTCATAGAACAACCTCTAGAAGCAACATGGGTTTGCTTCAATTTTCGTAACCTTGGTCAATGGACTTAATTACGAAGGATAGCTTCAAATTGAAACTGAGTGATATCGACTCCAATGCCCCCTATTCTAAGGTTTTCATTTTTACCGAACCGGAATGCACACCTTCAAATTTAGTGAGACGCCAATGGAACTCAACTCTTTCAATGGTCCGAATCGATCTTAGCAAAGAAGCCAAGTACAACACCCTCATAGAACGAATCCTACGCATTGTATTTGTTTACCTTCCTTAACGTGCTAGGGACGTCATCGTCCACCCCTGCAATTTACTCAAGATGAAGAACTGGTAACTCAGCTTTCAGCTGGTTTACCTCACCGGGGCAATTTCGGTTTATAGCAGAATCATCCAAGAAAAGTTCACCAAAGCAAAGAATTAATAGATGAAGTTGTAGCCAAAGAATTTTGAATCAGGTACAAGACCGGGAGGATATCCGCAGTAAAATGAAACGGTACACACTCGATTGCCACGTCAAAGAACGCATGAGGATCAAAAACACGCCGACCACCAATTATCAACAGGAAATATCCGAGATACTTTTTAAACAGTTCACGACATTGCTCTTCTATTTATACAGCAAACAACACGTGAGGTCCTTAAGCACCCTTGTTGCTACTCCAGGGTTTGATCACCGCAACGACAATGATCACCACGATGATGAGTAGGATTAGGATCGCGATGCACATCCATTTCCTAGAGCTCTTCTGCAGGCTCTTTGCCCTCTGGAGTGCAGTGTTGCCACTCTGAACGTGATCCACCGCACTTGAGACCTAAAGAAACATAGATGAAGAGTTGAACCACATAATCAAGGTCCAAGTGTGGCAAAGCAGAAACTCATCGAACTTCTTCAATTGGAGAGGTACTCCACAAAAGTACTTTCATGTTCTCCTCGTGGAAAAGAACAAAACCTCGATGAAGACAACTCAGTAGAACTAGCCTACCTGTGATTCTATATTGTCAAGCATGTCTCCCTGGGCATCCACCAACACAGCCATATCCATGAATATCTGCATCATGAACAAACAAGAGTTACAACATATAGCAGAGCCTAACATCTCCCCCCACACAGCTTTCACCATCAAATGTGTGAACAGAAAACTAAGTGTTGTACATCTAATTGATCTAAATATGGATTCTGTTACTTGTGTGCTCTCAGTGTTCCGTACTGGCCATAGCATCCGTTATATGATGGCAATGGCAGACATCGTTCTCGTAATTGACCATTATTGTGTTGTTATTAGAATTCGCACTTGTAATGGCTGCTGCTGCTACTACAACCGCTGCAGCAGGCAGCTTATCCCCATCAGTGACTGCTGAAGACCCTGAATTTGAGGAGAAGATCTGGGTGCTGGTCTGAGCAAATCTCGGTTGTGGGCTTTGTGGTATGAGATGAAGGCTTAGAAAAAGGAGATAGAGAAGTTTCTATGGCTGATTATGAAGATCTGGGATTACATTTAAATCAGCTTCTTCAGTGACTGCACTGCAGCCTTTGAAGATGGAAGAGAAAAGAGGCATCAGATATTTCTAGGCTGTATTGTGTGGCAAAGAATGAGCTTCATTATCTTTTGGGAAAAAACCACCAAAAACCCCAAACTTTGCCATCCGTGACACATTTACCCCGAACTTTTTTTTGTGACACCAAAAACCCCGAACTTTGCTTTTTGTGACACATTTACCCCAATGTATTTAGTCCATGGGCATTTTCGTCTTTTTTGCTTTTTCTTTTTTTTTCCTTTCCGGCGAGGGGGGGCCTCGCCGGCGTCGGGCAAGGGCTGCCCTCGCCGGATCCGGCGAGGGGGCCCTTGCCGGCGTCGAGCGAGGGTGGCCCTCGCCGGATCCGCGAGGGCGGCCCTCGCCGGCGCCGGCGAGGTTCGCCCTTTCTGGGCGAGCGAGGGCAGCCCTCGCCCGACTCGGGCGAGGTCGACCCTCGCCGGCGTCGGGCGAGGGTCGACCTCGCTCGAGTCGGGCGAGGGCCGCCCTCGCTCGCCCGGGCGAGGGCCTCGCTCGCCCGGGCGAGGCGACCTCGCCCGAGTCGGGCGAGGTCCGCCCTCACTGGGCGAGCGAGGCGACCCTCGCTCGACGTCGGCGAGGGCGAGGGCCCTCACATGATCCGGCGAGGCCGCCCTCGCCGAATCGGCGAGGGCCGCCCTCGCCGACGATGAGGGCGCCCTCGCCCGACGAGGGTCGCCCTCGCCCGACGAGGTCGCCCTCGCCTGGCAGCGGCGAGGCCGCCCTCGCTCGGCGGCGAGGGTCGACCTCGCCGAGATCGGGCGAGGGCCGCCCTCGCTCGCCCGAGCGAGGCGGACCTCGCCCGACGCCGGCGAGGGTTGTCTCGCACAGGCGAGCGAGGCGGCCCTCGCCCGACTCGAGCGAGGCCGCCCTCGCTCGCCCGGCGAGGCCGCCTCGCTCGCCGGCGAGGGCCGCCCTCGCTCGGCGCCGGCGAGGGCCGCCCTCGCTCGACGCCGGCGAGGGCCGCCCTCGCCGGATCCGGCGAGGGCAGCCCTTGCCGGATCCGGCGAGGCCCCCCCTCGCCGGAAAGGAAAAAAAAAGAAAAAAAAAAGAAAAAGCAAAAAAGACGAAAATGCCCATGGACTAAATACATTGGGTAAATGTGTCACAAAAAGCAAAGTTCGGGGTTTTTGGTGCCACAAAAAAAAGTTCAGGGTAAATGTGTCACAGATGGCAAAGTTTAGGGTTTTTGGTGGTTTTTTCCCTTATCTTTTTGTTGACTTACAAGTTTGTAGACTGGTATACTAAAGCAACGTTAAAACATACATAAATTTTAAGCTATTGTTGGAGATAGCACATAACATATGGCTGTTAATAACAAAAGAATTCACATTTTGATATTTGAAAAGACAGTACCATCCACGTGTACTTATTCGGAATAGATCAATTAATAAATTCTATCGATCAATCACAAATTTAGATAGTCAATTCAAAGAATTCATCCATGAAAGCAAATTGCACTCTTTCTCACATCATAGTGAGCAAATTTCTAAAAAAATTCACGTACGAAACCCATTACATGCATAATGGCAGTAGTAGAAGTCAAGTAAGCACACTGAGGTAAGAGTTGAGATGCAAAACAACTAGATTCAAAAGTACATGAAGTACAAATATTGCTTAGTTCCACCATTTAATTACACAATCCAGCAGTTCCTTATTTTAGCCAGGGTATGTAAATCCCAATTGTGAAGAAAGAGTTAATAGCGATGAATGCTAAGTACCTGCTGCAAATCCAAAAGCTTGCGTTCTAGATCTCTGACCGCATCATGGCGCTCTTGAATTTCAGCAACAGTATCCATAATCTGTAAAATTAACTAACATGAGATCGATCCAACTTTTTAACTTCAATAAAGAGTACCGTGTTCCTAGTAAACAGAATATAGCACACTACGGGAGTAGTTCCAAGATTCCAAAGGAAAATATCAAGCCAAAGAAAAATCGTTCTTTCATCAATCTAATGATGTGTAAACCTTATACAAGTAGTTGGGAAAGGATGATAACGACTTACAATATTAAGACCAGGTAATCACCAAAAAGAAATCTTGAAAGCCAAGAAGATCATTAGGGCCTCCACATTTTGAAGAGAGTTCAAATAAAGCTTTAAAAGCACAAGTTCATCAATTCTCTCCAAGCAATAGAGTAAATTCTATGCAGCTGCAAATAGCCTGAAGTATTTTGACAAAATCAAAAAAAAATTTCGAGTCCACATCCCACACGTATTAGGTTAATCATTTGTTGTACCCAAACTTTGAGAACATAAGGAAATTGTGGGCTTAGTTGATGCTACTTGTGGATGCATAAAAGCAACACGGCAAAAATAAATTCCGGTTGGACTCAACAAAACTCAATTTCTCAAACCTAAAAATGGTTAGCAGAAAAAGCAAGAGTAACATTTGACAAAACTACTCAAATTGTAAAAGAGAGACAAAGCAACAAGAAGGGAAAAAGAACCTGGCCCCGCCCCTGCTCTTGAATGGCCTTTTGGAAGATTTGTTCACTATCTCCAGTCTCAATCAATCTGTCAATTGTCTATTCAAAGTTGTGTGTAATTAGTATACGAGCAAGAGGGGCAACATACCAGAAGTTGGTAAAATTTACAAATCATTTTACCTCTTCATCGGCTCTAGTGCCCGTTACTGACCATTACAGAAACAAAATCAAAGAAGTTAGTACTAAGTCATGCCACAATTGCATTTTTGATATCCAATTAGCCAAAAGGTTTTGTACCAGTAAAAACACGCCTCTCGACAACCTCCCGATTCTCTTGATGTATATTTTCCCTGAGGACCTGCAAAAGTATTCAAAGTTTAAAAAGTTGATAAAATCCCAGGCAGATAGAGAAATGAGAGCCTATGAAAATATTTATGTTTAGAGCAACCTGAAATTCAGCCATCTTGTCTTTGAACTTTTTCTTCATGGCGCTGCATCAATAAAGTTTACAAAATGACATCATTCACTTTATAACCAATCTCTGGTGCCATTGAATGATAGATTCAGATTAGTAATAAATATGATAGCTTCAAAATAATGTGTTCAAAAAGAAGTAATCTTGATGAAACATTTCAACTTCAGCCACTTAACAGGATAGTCTACTGCATTGGCTATAAAAATGTGAAAGCAAAGTGTTGATGTTTCTTCGATAAGCTGTTCTATAGAATCACTTCGTACAATGCATGCAAAAAGATACGGCATAGCCGTATCTGAAGCAATTATTGCCAGGCATGACATCTCGATTCCCTAACCATCACAACCACCACCTTCATCACCACACGCGCGCGCGCACACATGTGTGAGCGCGCGCGCGCGTGTTTGTAGAGAGAGAGAGAGAGAGAGAGAGAGAGAGAGAGAGAGAGAGAGAGAGAGAGAGAGAATTACACAGTTGTTTGCGTTCTTGACCGGTCAACACCTGTACCTTTTCCGCAACCAGGTTTCTGCCTATTTGCCAGATTCTGCACCAAAGAGACAATATAAGACAGATAATAATCAAATCACTATGGCTGTTACTGGGGACAACAGGCATCTCATAATCTTACTTCTCGGTCGAGTTCTTCAATCTTTGATTTTATTAAGCGAGCAACCTTTCCAACCTCATCAACTTCTTTCTCCATCCGCTGCTTGATCACTGTAGACAATAGAAACATCATGATTAGCAATATGATGTTGGACATAGAAGAGTGAAATATAAAATGCTAATCAAACATATATCATTTGGATAAAAATTGGAGAACACCATGCAAATAAATTTTCCAATACATTTAACAGAAACTATTTCTCATGTTTGGGATGAAAGTAATGCTTTCCAGCTGAGTCAAAACTTGGGAGCATTATGGGCATCTTGTATGACGACCATTCGAGTGGTTGTGCCACGGAACAAAATGTGATGTAGTTGAACTGTGACAAGCATAACATAGGTGCATTAAGCCTTTCTCTTAAAGGATTGTCCTGAAAGATAAGCAGCAAAACAGTTTGGGTGCATGAATTTTTTCCAAGCATCAAGAGTGAGATAAAAATTATTAATAAAAGGAGTGATAGTGAAACACAATAATCACACAATCTGTGTCTTCTTCCCACATGAATGATTATCTTCTCCATGTACGGCTGATTTAAACAGTTATGTACTTTTTTGGGCGGTTAGCACCCAGTATATACTCTCAAGGTAATGAAACAGTTGAACATTTTAATCCTAAGAACTACCTATTTTGGTAACTTGGAAAATGTATAAATGGCACACAGCTCTCATATTACCAGTAAAGCATAGCGGGAGTTATTCTAACCATCCTTCTAGGCAAAGAAGTATAGGGACAGAAACATAAAGAACTGATTACCAAGTTCTTAGATAATCCAACCTCAGTAAAAAAATACGATGTTACAAATTAAGTTCCATGGGAAATTATGAAGTTCCCAGATTTCTTCAGCAGCTGGAAATGATCCCAATAACTATGCACCCACTGGCTAAACAAAAGAGCTCTAATAGATAAAAAAATCCATCCAAGTGAGGATATAGCCACACGATACCTGAGATTCGTTATCCATTGGAATGTTAAGAATTTTCCGGGCTATGGAAACTGATACTTAAGGGGAAGAGTATCTTATACTGGGGACGAGATTAAAAATAAAATAAGTTAAGGCAAATAATGTCAAAAGCTTTTCAAAATTGTAGCTCTATTTGATGGACCAATGGAAACGAAGAGAAATCACGTAGTATGCACTTCTCGCGATAATGAGAAAAAAGGAGGGAGAGAGAGAGAGAAAGTAATCGGGACAAAAAGCATGAAAAAAATAGTAGAGCACATTCTTGGATACAAATGAACCTTAAGAGAAAGCTAGAGCAAATCACCTTTCATGGAAGCAGCTTTAGTTACAGCTTTTGATTCCTCGTGCGCATCCTGCATACATACAAGTTGGCAGAAGGATGCATCATCTTATAATAATACTCTATGCAATAGCAGGTTATTCGAGACACCATTAACATCCTACTCAAAGCTACTTCTTCTGTAGGTAATGAGGCGCTATTTGATACAATCTGGAGTTCATATAAGTAGCCATTGATCTATTCAACAGAGCCTACATAAGCCGAAGCCTCGAGTGGCACGAGAAAAAGGAAAAGACAGATCTTCATACTGAGAATGTAAACAAAGGAACAAAAAAGCGGCAGTCATAAGAAAAAGTTCATCATCGAAATATCAATAGTTCCACTCAATGATTTTTCAGAAGAATATAAACATACAGCCAACGTGTAAAAATTTTGATTTATCACGGTGCAGACAATTTGTTTGCAGCACTCATAAACCATTGGTAAGATTTATAAAATGAGGAGAATTAATAGACAATGTATTATAAGTTTTTAACGTAATCAGGTATGCTTATCTAAATCCGAGACAATTGTTGCCAAAAACGGGGGAGTAAACAATAAAACCATAAGGGCCTAGAATGAATGTGCCTTACCTGGAGTTTCTTTAGCAATTTATTCAACTTGTCAATTTGCTTTTCGATATCTTGGACCTGGTTGATCAAGAGGCTTATGAGTGATTGTTGTAATGCAAGACATAAATATGAAGTGCACTATCAACCGTAAGATATGAAAATACATCGAAAAGCAAAATGATTGATTAGGAGGAGGGGCTGAAATGACATCAATAAAACACCTTCTTAAAGAAATTCTCCAAGCCAAGCTCCCCTGAGTGCATTGGAGCATTTGCACCCAACTCAATGTCGCCGTGTCCAGAAGCTTGACCCCGAGGGATCTCAAAGGAATCCTAGGAAAAAAGTTATTAATACAGTTGGCAGAAGTTATAAAACTCAAAACAATAAAGAATGCGGACATCCAGACACTATCCTGGTTTTGAATGGCGTAACACGAATACAACTGTAAAATTCGCAGGCCTAGAATGAAGAAATATATAAACCAAATCAGAACAGCTTCTGCTTCAGCAAAATTTCTTTGGCAAAGAAGCTAAGGGTCGTGATAGTATTCACTCTCTTCTTTACATATCCACATTAACTCATTCAACGTGGCTGGAAACAACCTATTCGATCAAAAATAGAATAGCCACAGATACCTAGAATCTACGGCTCAAAGATATAATTCAAGCGTCAAAATTCAGCGTCTGCAGTCAGCGATGCCCCAAGTGACTGATAGGAGCAGTAGAATCCAGCTTAGACAGACGAGATACTCTTCTCATACATCCCCAAAGTGAAAGGACAATGCAGGAAATCCAAATTCCCGTATCTTCTCCCCCACACATTCCGATTCTCGCTAACGACACAGGATACTCCGAGCCACGCAAAAGTCAAATCTCGCCGCTAATTAAATAAACCAACAACACAAACAACAAGGCAGTAAATACAAGCACGACAACATCCGGTCGAAATCGACGTAGCTGTCCTAATCGAGACTCAGATCAGTAATAAAACACGGCGCGGCGACATCCGGAAAAGAACGCGCGGGAAAAAGAAAACAGCAAGAACGGAGCAACATAGAAGCCCCGCCCCCCATTCATCTATCGCGAAGCGGAAAAGGTCATTTACCGAGAGAAGGTCGTTCATCGCGTCGGTCGGAACGAGCTCGCCCGAGGGAGGACGGAGAGATCCGAGACGGGAGAAGCTCCTCCGGACGCGGCCCGAGGGGAGCACGATCGAGGTCTCGTCGCGCGATCGGAACGCGGAGGAGCGGAGGAGAGAGAAAGTGGAAGGAAGGGGGAGGGGAGGGGAGGAGAGAGAAACTGTGCTCTTTCCCTTTCTGTTTCGTTGGTGACGGAACAGCGAGGAGAGAGAGACCAAAAAAAAACCAGCGACGGAGCGTGAAGGCAGGTTCTGTCCTTTTTGTAGGCTGTTGCCTCTTTTTTTTGCTAAAATTTTGTAGGCTGTTGCCTACTGTTATAGCTCACTCCTCCTTTATTTTTTTTAATTAATTTATTTATTTTGATAGAGCATTGGCTGTTAGAATAAAATACTTAGTTTTTGCCGATTATTGCCTTTTAAGTTTTATCCGATAATCGGTATATTTTATTTCTGAAGACAAAAAACTGACTTTCCCTCCTTTTTATCAAACAAAGGGAAAGAATTTATTGGCTCAGAAAAAAGAAATCTTTGTCAATGCAGTTCCATTACACTCGAGGGACCAGCTTCGATACTATGATTGATGTTGATTTTGCCTATTTTTTGAAACTAATAGAGTTGACACGACCGTAGAAATTCCTACGCGCAAGGAGAAAACTCGGAATATTTACCCATGTTGGGAACTTTTTTTTGTAGAAACATCATGTGAATTTTGGAATAAAGACATAGGAGGTCTTTGAATTTTTGAAAAATATTTCAACAAATGTCTCGAAATATTTTTGTGCAATTGGGTTCTTAAGCTGTGCATATTTGTGTTCAAGCTGGTCCTTTCATAAGATTTACAATCGAAATGCTGAACAGAAGTGCCAATTCAGCACCTCGTCAATACTAGCTACATTAATTTTACACAAATAAGAGAAAAAGAAAATTTAGAAAAAATTGAGAACCGGATTCTCCCCTTTTTTTTTTTTTCCTACGAAGATGGGAGACTTGTATTTCTCATTCACAAATCTGTCTTTATTTATGTTGCTAACTCTCGGTTTGGTCCTACTTCTGCTTTATTTTGTTACTAAAAAGGGAGGAGGGAAGTCAGTACCGAATGCTTGGCAATCGTTGGTAGAGTTTTTTTTTTTGTTCGAATTCTTCGTAGAGCTTATTTATGACTTCGTGCTAAACTTGGTAAACGAACAAATAAATGTTCTTCCCTTTTTCGCCTCCAGGATGCGATTAGTTGAAATCAATGTGGTCTCTTATAAAGTATGGGCCTTTTTTTTATAATCCCCGGGCCCCTCCTCTTCTCTGGAGGTAGTTGAGGGAAGCACAAAGCCAGAATCGCTAGTAATTGTTGATCAGTTATACGGCATTGAATTCGTTCCTGGGCCTTGTACACACCACCCATCCTAGCCATGCCCGAAGTAGCCATGCCCGAAGTCGTTACGTTAATTGCAAGGAGGCAGATGCCGAAGGCAAAGCTAGTGACTGGAGTGAAGTTGTAACAAGGTAGTCGTACTAGAAGATGCGGCTAGATCACCTTCTATTCAAGGAGAGCTAATGCTTGTTGAATATATTGGTTTGAATCCAAGATTCACGACATAGGGGAAGGCAAGGTTGCTCGGCTGGGGTGGGCTGTGGTGACCACATTGTTGGTGCTGTCAAAGCACGTCGAGGGCTCGTCGATGTCAGGCGACAATCATGTGGCCGTCGTTGCCTCCAATTCGAGCACACACAAGCACGGAGTGACAAGGAGCCGCAAAGAGAAGAAAAATGGTGGGTGGCATCACAGCCGCTAACTAGATCAATGTGGCCAAGAGGTAGTGCAACCCCAATTGATTTACATAGGCTGGCTTCTAAAATAAGGAAGTGTTAGGATGTGTCATTAAATGGTGGAACTTAACAATATTTGCACCTTCGCATAATGGGTCGTAGGTCATGTCGAACATGTTCAATTTCACCAAATATTTTAGGCTTTATAAAAAGAGTAAACTATGCTAGTTTAGAGTATAGAAAACGTTAAAAATCGGGTTCTGGAACCGGCTAGTTTAGAGTATAGAAACGAGAATCGAAACCGGCCTGCCGGCCCGTTTCAGTTTTTAGAGAATGAGTTGTATTACTCAAGTGTTGGACGAAATAAACAAGTGAATGTCATCCCTATTTATACATGAGGTCCTCTAATTACAGTTGTTGATCTCTATCTCGATCTAATGGTACAAAAAGTCAATCCTCGTCATGTTGACCTAGTGGATGAGACTAAATTGATCCAACGATATTGGATATCAATCTTTGTCTCAGGGGTCCGATGGTGTAGATTTATTCCATCTTACGGTGTTGGGGATCAATCCACTTGACATTGATCTAACAGTAAAGTATCCAACCGATCCGACGGTTCCAAGGCACTTTGGCCCTTACCTCTTCGGGTTGATCCGTGGCAAGTGGTCTCAATTGATATTTGGTCTAAATCGTGGGCGATGGTAGCCGGAATCATAGCCATCAAGAGTGGGCGAACCATCCATACTAGTAAAAAAAAAAAACAAATTCAATGCTCCATCTTCATTAATTATTCAAGACGAGCAAGAGACTAATAGAGCTAGCTTTTATATCGAGATTAATATTAATTTTGCTTATTTTATAAACTGGAGCTGGTGGCCTGGTCCATTGTGGTCTCTTTTTCCACGGCCCGACCCGGACGAATTCCTGTGTGCAAAAGAAACACACGGAATATTTACCCGTGTTGGGAATTTTCATTGAAATGTCCATATATATTTGCAATAAAGATATTCGAAATCTTTGAATTATTGAAAAATGTTCATTTATATGTCTCAATTTTTTTTGTGTGCAGTTGGATTCTTAATTTATACGGCTTTTTGTCAAAGCGGGTACTTTTGTAAGATGTACAAACGAAATGCTGACGTGGAGTTCGAACCCAGCATCTCGTTAGCACAAATGAGACTAATTATGACTGCAAGAAACTTCTTTTACTTAGTACTGACATGGTTAAGTAAAAAGGAAAAATTTTAAATAATCGTAAACCTAACCAAGGTTCGCAGCACCAGCGTAGACAGGCCGCTCAATAGGAGCGGGCCGTGGTGGCCGGTGCCGCTGAAGCACACCGAGGGTCACTGAGTGCTCATCAGTAGCATCAGACGACCTTCACGCGCGGCCTTCGTTGCCTTCAATTCGAGCACACATGCGCACGAAGAGATGGAGTGACGGAGAAAAGAAACGGCGGGTCGTATCACAGCCACCAACTAATTCGATGTCTGTCAGGATGGTGCAACTGGCAATCGAGCTATTGCCATGGTGGGGCGGCCCCCAGCCAAGCTGTTGCCATGGTGGGAGGTCCTGTCGGGTTAGCCGGACCATCCTCGTCCGGATGAAATGTGGACCCAGGACCTGTCAAGTTATGATGTCATCAAAGATGCCCGAAAATTCTCCTATTTCTTGATCATGAGCCCAAATACCCTATTAAAGTTATGGAGATCAGGGCCTGTTTTAAGATTCATCTGGACGAAATCACGGACTTTCGATCATTCATAGAATAGACAGTAAATTACAAGAAAAATCGATAATTAGAAATCGACCAATTGAACATTGATAAGTGCTTCCAGTAGAAGCTAACACTGCAAAAACTAGTTTGGTGCTGCACCGTCACAATCAATTATTAATTCATAGTTTGCTCCTTCATCCGTCCGATCGAAAAGTGATAAATATTTCCAATCAACTATACGCATGGTTAAAAAAAAGTATTTTCAGAAAATATGAAAACGGAAAAACTGCATTTATACTAAAAACCGGTAAAATTATAATTTGAGTGACGAACGTCGACGTGTGTATAAATAAAATAATTTTTACAGGGTCCGCGTTAAAAAAAATGAGGAAAAATTTCAAATAAGGGTACTCATTTTCTCAAGTAGTGCGCTCGTTCTAGAACTAGAAGACCGTCACGTACGCGAACGTGAAATTGTTTCATCGCCGTCTCTCTTTCTGGTGCCTACTGTTCTTCATTTCCACTTGCCCCCACTAGGAGTCTAGAACTCGGCGGGTTTGCATTCTCTCGGAAGGCGGAATCAATCCCCTCGCCGTCGCCGCCGAAAGAAGGGGGCGCTTTCCCGCAAGTTCGATCAAAGGCGCAGCTCGGCGCGTCCCCCTGGCCCGACCCGAGTAGCTGTTGTTTCTGGGATCGGGCAGTTCCTTTCGCTTGCTGAGAAGGCTCGAGGTGAGAAGTACTGCGAAACGTCTTCTGGGTTTCGTTCTTCGTGATCGTGTGGCGCGATCTCGTGAGCTGTTAGATGCTTAAAGAGAGGAATCTCTCTTGCTCCTCGTACTGCCCGTTTCGTGTGTCGAAATGTAGACACACCCATCTGTCTTTCAATCGGTAGTTTCGGATAGTTGATGGTTATGGTGCGAGCGAGAGAATGGATTTGGGTTATATGATCGTGGGGAGATTTGTGGGTTTTGTGATGGTCGCTGTGTTCTGCCCGAGCGATCGATTGCGTTCTGCTTTGAATGATAAAACAGCGAAGGGCGTCTCAATTCCCGCGAAGAAGTGTGGAGTCCATTTTTATTTTTTTTTGCTACAAGAAAGCATGGTCTCTTCCTTGTAAATGGAGGTGTTGTCATTGTTTTCTTGTCTTTTGAAGGAAGGGAAAGATCATGGGGGAGGGATTGTCTTGTCGGAGTGTACTGAGAATCTTGATTGGTGTTCGCTTTGATTTTGCTAGGATCTGAATTTGACAGAGAACTAGAGGGGATTTTTCATTTCTTGAGAACAATCCAGATGTTGCAAGCACGTTATTTGGTTTCCTTGCTTGCTCTACTAGATAGAGTAAGAAAACCCCAATGGAATTGTTCATCTGGTTCTCAGGTATTGCACTGCGGGACGGTTTGTCTCTTTACACTTCGACCGATGGAACTGTTTATCTCATGGAAACGATTGCTTTTTTATCGAGAACCTTAGTCACAACTGAACTTCAATCCCTCATGTCATCCACAGCTATTTGGGCATGTTGGATATTTCACCATATTGGCTTATATGTTATCACAAACACAGTAAATAAAGCTGGTCAAGTAATCATACTCATTTAGCCTATTATTTGATTTTTCACCCGTTTTTCATCTTGCTTCTTGTCCATACTCTGTTAACTGCTTGTTGATCTCAAAAGGATTCTTTCACTGAAATCCTGCTCTTTATGGTGCCAAGATGTTATGCAAAAAGGTGAGTGAAACGGGGTGCCATGAACCAAAAACTTGTGTTCGAGGTCCATGGGATAGACAAAAGCTTAAAACCAGGGACAAGATGAACTATTTTATTTTTGCAACATCATAGGTTGGGGGTGAATTAAGAAATTTTCATGTAATTTCCATGTAGTACAGTCAAAATTAGTAAAAATTTCACTGCACACCTAGTGGCCAAGGGGCCGCGATGGCCCTCACCAACCCCTAGGGCCGTAGTTGTGCAGGATAATCTATTCTTCATTGGCAATGCTTGCCATGCCACCCTCTCTGCATTGTTATTTTTCATTGATATGGGGTGGAGAATTTGTCAAATAGTTTGATATGTCATCATTGATTGCTTGATGCAATTGCTTTGCGTGTGGGTTCAGGAGACAAAGGAGACAAAGGGTATACATTTCAAGTTTCAGCTAACACAGCCAGTATGCAAGGAGAATCTCAATCCAGTGCACGAGAGGAAAAAGTGAGAAAGGAAGAGTTAAGAGTCAAGCTGAAGACCAAGGCTACAAAACCAGATGATGTGTCGGAAGATAAAACTGAGATGGAAATGGAATTAAAGACCAAAAGTACGGAGAAAATCAAGCCACATCATGAGAAAGACAAGAAGGAGAAGCATAAAGAAGAGGACAAGGGGAAATCGAAGAAAAAGGATGTGGGTGAAAGGAAGGAAAAGGACAAAGGGAAAAAAGGAAAAGAACACGATTGTGATGACGACGATAATGATGAAGTGAGGACAGGTAAAGAGGCAGTGAGGGAGAAAGAGAAGAAGGAGAAATGCAGTATTAATGATGATCAAGATAAAAGAATTGAGAATGATGAGTCCGGGGAGACTAAGAAAAAGAAAGGGAATAAGTATGAGGAAGGCAAGGAAAAAGAAGAGACGGATACAGAGAAACGTGGTGGAGATTTGGAAAACAGTGAAGAACATTCTAAGGGGAAGAAAAAAGAGAAACATAAGGACAAGAACACGAAGAAGGGAAATGATGAGAACTCCAAGGAGAAAGGAGTAGAGAAGATTAGAAGTGATGACAGAGAGGTGGAGAAGAAGAAGGGAAATGAAGAATACGTGGAGATATATGAAGGGAGGGCAAATGATGAGGAGCAAAAGAAGGATAAGCATGGGAAAGAGAAACAAGAAGGCAAGAAAAAGGATGAAAAACACAAGGAGAAAGATAAATCTAAAGGAAAAGAGAATGTCGATGAAGATAAAGGAGAAAAGAATAAGAAAAAGGATAAGGAAGATAAACAGAAGAATAAGCACAGGAATGCGGCAGATGAGCGAAAAGGCACAAAACATGAGGAGGAAGATAAGAAGAACCGGAAAAAGGTTAAGGAGAAGGAAGAGGAAAGGAAGCACATGGATAGAGAGGATGTGGAGAAACAAGATGAAGATGAGGAAAAAGTAGACAGTGAGAAAGAGCAAAAGAAGAAGGAGAAGAAAGATGAGGACAAGAAAGAGAAGGAAAAGCAAAGGGGCGACGCCGATGTGGAAACAGCAGATGAAGACAAGGGGAAAGGGGAGAAGAAAGAGAAGAAGAAGACCAAGAAAACTGACGTAGGAAAAGAAGAGAAAGAAGAGAAGCTAAAGAAGAAAGGGAAGAAGCACGAGGATGTACCGGATGTTGGAAATGAAGATGAGAAGGAAGGAGACGTTAAAAAAGAGAATCGCAAGGTTGAAGAGGGTATGACTGAAGTTACTGGAAGGGAGATTGAAATATGTGAAGATGCTAAAAAATCTGAAGGAGAAGGGCAAAAAGAAAAGCAGAAAGGTGAGGAAGTTGACAAGAAGGTTAAGGGTGATAAGAAAAGAAAACTTGATGGGAAGGACAAGATTAAAGATCTTGGCAAGCTAAAACAGAAGTTGGAGAAACTAAATAGTCAAATTGAAGCTCTTCTGGAGAAGAAGTCGGAAATCTTGAGGCAAATAAACGAGGCTGAGCATGCAGAGGCCTCTACTGGTGGAGCAGCTGATGAAGCTAATGCAGCTTAGGGTGATGTGTGGACACTACCTTCTTTTCTGTCTGTAAATATGTCTAAGTAAATAGTAAAATCGAAGCTCTTCTGGAGAAGAAGTTGGAAATCTTGAGGCAAATAAACGAGGCTGAGCATGTGGAGGCCTCTACCGGTGGAGCAGCTGATACCAATGCAGCTTTGGGTGACGTGTGGACACTACCTTCTTTTCTGTTTGTAATTATGTCTATATTTCTAAAGTTGTCATGTGAATAATGTATACTTTTCTTGTCCTTGTTTGGTAAATGTAATGCTCTCTGTCCTTTTTATCCTACCCAAAGTGAGCTTCTGTGTACATAAACTTCCCATGGCTATAGTTACATATCAGTAAGACCAAGGGAGTGCTATATCTGAGTGTCATATATCTGCCCCTTTTAACTCTTGTTTGTGCGTTGGATTCATGATCCAACTCCAGTCATTATGATATTCAAGTGCTTGATCATAGAGCTTCTCAGGCTGATTTGGCTGGATAACAAATGAAATATGCGCTAGCATTAAAGGAGCGTTGGAAGTATATCAATTCTGGTGCAAAAATGTCTGGTTATGCAGGTTTTGGGTTGATTAGATGCTCTGTGTTGAAGCATAGTGCAACCAAATCATTATGGTGTCAGGTCTTTATACGATGTGTGGAGTAGCGCATGTTGGGGTCTAGCTTCCTTCGCTGATAAGCTGGAAAAAGAAGGTTGCTAGGTTGTGAAAGCTTTGATGGAAGCTTCCCTGGGCAAGCTGTGGAAGAAAACTCATTAGCATGTTAATTTCTTGGCTTCTCAAATCATTGCGTCTCTAACTGAAGTTGATTGATCTCTGGCTTAGTTTGAGCATCAGCAGTTTTGAGTCATTTGTGCACCCCAACCAGTTAAGCAGACTAGTCATGCTACATTTTCTGAATTTCTCGAAAGGAGTCGCCGCCGCTCTAAGCTGTTGAAATTGTCTTCCTGGCAGACTGCTCTCTCTATTTGTTCTAGGTATATTGAATCAGCCACGGAAGCTAAAGTTGGGAGAGTATGAAGTTTAGCAGCATAATTATGAGAGAGAGAGAGAGAGAGAGAGAGAGAGAGAGAGAGAGAGAGAGAGAGAGAGAGAGAGAGAGAGAGAGAGAGAGAGAGAGAGAGAGAGAGAGAGAGAGAGAGAGAGAGATGTAATCAAGCTCTGTTTTACTTCTATTGAGTAGTTTCTGATTTGTGTCTAAAGAACTATTTGCGTGGTGCCATAAGTTCCGCCAAATGGAAATTTCAATAATTTTTGGTGGTGCAGAAACAGTGTAAATGTCCCAATTCGTTTCCTAGTTTAGTTCTTCTTAACAGGATTGGTGGTGAGACCAAAACCAAATGGGAAGAGGGGATCGTAATGAGGATCCCCAACATTCATCGGAAGCTGATCCACGGTTTTGAACCATGTCCTAGAAAGCTTGCCTGTGAAGCCATAATCACCAAACAGAACATCTGCAACCCCTTGGCCTTCTGTTCCCGGAAGCCAAGCAGCAACGATAGCGTCCATTGCTGCGACATAGGGCTGGATCATGACAGGACGACCGGAGATGATAACGACGACACACTTGACGGCTGCACATACATTCGATATAGTGCTTGTTCCTGGGTCAGCAATGGTCAAGTTCGTGCTATCGCCATTTGTCTCTGCGTAAGGGTGTTCTCCCACTACTACAATGGCATAGGAGAATTTGCCCGATTTGACAGAGTCCGTATTGGGGTTTTCCTTGTAGACGACCTTGGTTTTTGGATCAACAGTGTTCTTAATGGCACTGAGAATTGTGGTACCTGGAAATGTGAAGATTGGCTCTATTAGATTCTATGGAAACACATGATCAGGAAGTTAGCAAAGTAACGCTATTCTATGATTGAAACAATGACCAAGTTGACAGTAAATCAGGAAGAATGGAGATATCAAACCGTCGCATACCACTAGTGAGGTTGTTGCCACTGAGTCCCTGCCATTGAATTGTCCATCCGCCACACTGATACCCTAAGTTATCTGCATGGCTACCAGCAACTAGTATTTTTGGTGCTTTCTTAGAGAGAGGAAGTAATGGCTCATCAGTTCCTTCACCATTTTTCAGTAGCACCAAGGACTTTCTGACAGCTTCCCTAGCCAATTCTCTATGCTCCTGTTTTTCAGGTTAACCGGATTTGATGAGTAAAGATTGGAAATCATCCTTGACATCTAAGTGAATCGGTAGATCGATACCGAACAAACCTGACTTCCTAGCTGGTCCACTAGGCTGGTATCGGCCAATGGATTCTCGAATAGGCCCATCGTGAATTTGACCCTCAGTATTCTCCTCACCGCATCATCGATTCGGCTCATGGGGATGATCTTGTTCTTCACCTGGAAGGTTAACCCGTCGATGAACTCCGTGTAATTCAACGGGACCATAATCTGCGACAGATCGATTCAAACTTAAGAATGGACTGATGAAATATCTCCTTAGGTTCATCTCGTCTCACACAGCATAATGTAGAGTTAATCAATCTCTAACCATGTCAATGCCAGCAGTAATTCCTGTTTGAATGGAGTAGGAGTAGTTAGCATGGGGGGGAGTGGTTATCCTGTCAATACCTTCCCAATCCGATATCACGAACCCCTGCATTATTTTTATCACTGTTTCAAACAATCCAATGCAAATTATGGAAGAGGAACCGAAACGATAGTGAGACGATCTTTTACTCTGAAACGGAGTTTGTTTTTAAGGAGGCCTGTGATTAGGTCGCGATTTGCATGCATCTTGATTCCGTTCCAGCTAGAGTACGAAACCATGATGGTCGAGACGCCCTTGATGATTGAATCGTAATAACCGGGCATATGGATGCTAAGCAAGCCGTGCCAATCTATTACAGTGTTGTTCTCATTGATGCCATCAGTCGTTCCACCATCCCCGACGTAATGCTTTGCACATGCAGCCACATTCTTCCTGTGCCAGGAAAGCATAAAAAAAATGCATCAGAGACCTTCATTCCTTTGTACCCAGAGAACTGAGCTGTTTCTTGTGCTTTTCAGAATATCTGTGCTTATTCAATGTCAGATTCTAAGGTTAAACGATGTAAAACAAAAGAGCAGAGGCATCCTACTTCAATAATTGATTAATTTGGGAAAAAGCATAGTGAGAAAATATTTAACTGTAGAAGCAAGATGTGAACGGTATTTTCATCCATGATCCAATGACGGGAGCGGCAGCATAGGACCATGAAATGTAATGTGCGACACAACTCGAACACAGCTAGTATTCACGTTTGCGGGACTACACAGTAAAAATTAGATCTACCCCACTGCTTAAAGATCTTCTAGATAACCTAAATTTGTTACTAAGATTCACCAGCATGACTGTATTTTCGGTCACAGGTTGTAGTGTATCATTTGTCTCATCCCAATTCACCAGCTAGTGTTCAATTTTTTACAGTCCTGTTTAGGGAAGACAACAAGTTCGAGAAATGCACAAATATAGATTCGTATGCAACTAAAATGTGCAGATTTACTTTTCAAAATTTGAATTTTCTTTATCAAAGTTGAGTGACAACTAGCAAGTCAAAGATGGAAAATGGAGTCAGGCCGATCTCTGAATTTATCTTCTTGTCCCCTTCCCTACCGTGGACGCACGCTCCGCCCATATAATTTAAGCGAAGACATGGTCCATGACAGCAAACTCCTAATCAGAAAAGTCCAACCACGTTGCTTTTGTGGACCATAAACATCACGCACATTCATCGTCTAGTAAACACTTTCCTATTTCCCATCAGAATCTCTCGTTTTTTCCACAAACGTGTGCAGCCAAGCCAAGAGTTCATCAGATAAGTCAAGTTCAAATCGCAGAATTTGACTATTTAACAAGTAACCCCCGTGTTCCATGCTGACCCACATATCCAAAGTAAAAAAAAAGGTGCGACCATAGTCATGGTTTAATCAATGAGAACATGCAGTATGAAGATATGTGCTCTATCACGAAGAAGATTTTCGGAGTTTGCTTACTTTCCGGCGACATAGGGGACACCCTTCGGAGAACCGGCAGGAAGGTCACCTTGCAATCCGGGGACAATTTCGGTCATGGCCTGAACAATCTTATGATCTTCGCTGTAGCTCTCGTAACACCGACCCCATCGCGGATCCCTGCAGACCTGTTGTGAACACATAAATGCCAATAAGGTCGAGGTTGAGAGGGAGGTCGAGACCGAAAGAAGGATTATATTTATGCTCTGTGTCCAGTTTCCAATTTTATCGAATGTATCTGAAGAGACGAGTAGATCCGAGCCCTCTCACCGCGATACAGGGTGCGAAAACATATGGAATTCCTGTAGCTCTAACTTCCAGTGCGGTCGCAGCTCCGATCCTCTTGACTAGCTCAGGATCCCTAATTAGATAAAGATAGAAAAAAGCCATTAGGTAATGATCGCATCAGACGATCTTTTGCGGATCAACGCATCAATAATTGCAGAAAACGACCACTAAGGTACAGAATAGACCAAAGCTTTCTGGCTGCTGCATGTCCATCTTTCATCATAGCTGTTCAGCCACTATCGATTAGCAAAACTATTGTACAGTCGTCTCAATTGAAATCCCATTTTCGGCTTTCCGAAACTTTCTTTCATCGTTTCAAATCTCACTCGTGTAATTAATTAATCATACTAAACCAGAGGGCCGAACGTGGTCCCAACGCATTCTCAACTTGCCTGGTGGCTCCAAGACCGACGTTGTGAGGAAATATAGTCGCCTTGTACACGTTGTTATGGCCGTGAACCGCGTCGATACCGTAAATCATGGGGATGCCCAGCCGGGTAGACAACGACCCGTTCTGAAAATCGTTCACCATGTCGATCCAGGTCTCCGGCGAGGCCTGCGGAGCCGGGACACTCCCTCCTCCACTCAATACACTCCCTGGTACATAACAAAGCCCACATCTTAGTAACATTAACTTGTTCGATCCCAACTCAATGGACGGTCGTGTCGCTCACCGATGAAGTCCTTCTTCATGACCTCGAAGGACGCTACGCTGCGATCAATCTGCGTCATCTGGCCTATCTTCTCCGCCAGAGTCATCCGGCGCAGCAGGTCCTCGATGCGAGTGTCCAGCGGCTGCTTCGGATCTTTATACTTCACGTACTCTGCTCTCGTCATGCCAGAGAAGCAACAGAGAACTAGAAGCCCCACCATAAAGACGGGAGCTCTCGCCATTTTTTCTCTGTTCCCGGAGCGTCCTCTGTCTGAAAAACATCGCTCCAATCGATCTAAATCAGAAAACATACTTGCCCAAAAGCGAATACATATACCAAACAAAAAAGCAAACGAAACGCAGAACTGAACGGAAGGCATTGCCGACGAGATAAAACTCGAAAAAATCGAGCAGCTACCAACTAAGTCGCTGCAACTCTCTCGGGCCATGAAATTCATCGAAACAGAGGCACCCCACGAGCGCCATTAAATCGCGCTTACGGAACCTCGGAAATGAAGGTATCGACAACCCATCAGCCGCATTAAAGGCTTGCGTCATGAACTAGCCAAATGCGACTACACCCTCGTCATCCAGCTCCAGCAGCATCAAATCAAACGCCAATCTTCATCAGACCAAAACGAAACAACTCTCTCTGCAACTCACCAGTTGAGCTTAATTCTAGCGAGATTGACAACATAGGCGAGAGCAACGCGGGACACGCGCATCTGCATTGGCTTGAGAATTGACAGGAGCGTGAACGAGAGCACAGAGGACTTACCGAGACTGCCAACGATCACCTCCGAGAGAGAGAGAGGGAGAGGGAGAGAGAGATCTGTTCCGGCAAAGAGAAGCCAAAGGCCGTATTTATAAATATTTTTCACCGCTTAAATATTATTAATTAATATATCGGCGTAATTTCGGGGACATAAATGGAATTTTCGTTTGGATAATTCCATATTTTTTTTTTCCTTTTTATAAGCGCTTCTGGATAATTTCGATATCTTTTTCCCTTAGTCTTTGTGAAATTGGTGAGGCTTTTTGGAAATAAAGTCTGAGCACAATTATGCGATGGTTAGATTCGTGTAAATGCCCCAAACTTAGAGCGATTAGTGCGGCGATATTTCTTTAAAAGTTATCATGAGAGTCCCGCATTGGCTGCGAAATGTTCGGATTTAGTCGTAGTTACTTTGTCCCGTCCACGCCCCGAATAGTTGAGATTGGCGTGTCCGGTCTTGCAACAATTCACAAGTTAAAAAAAGAAAAGAAAAAGCAGTGTTGTCCTGGTCACTCTTTCTCTACTTTTTTTTTATTTATCATTTTACGGTCCGTTTGAGCAATGTCATCCGGACAAATTCGGAAAATAAAATGAAAAAAAAAAAATATAGCGGAAAGAATTTTTGAATTTCAGCCGAGGGAAACAATGAACAGGTTGATTTCACACGTGGCATCTGCATCAAAGATGGGATGTAAGGAGGATCGAGGAGTGATTGGGGGTGGGGGCGGCACCAATGCATCTGGGCCATCGAATCTCGACGTGGGGCCCACGTGGGGTCCACCAATCAGATTCGCCGAGTCTAACAAGACCATGGTGCATCTGATAATCTTTTTTATCAATGGAGAGGGAAAATTAGGAATTGGGCGGCCCAATTCCCTAAAAAACCCCAAACTTTAACCTTTATCCCAATTATATCCCAAATTTTTTTTTATCTCATAAAAAACCCCAAACTTTTACTTTTGTTCCAAATCTACCTCGTTTACTATTCATCCAATTTTTTAATATTATTTTTTCTTTTTTTTTCTTTTCTTTTTTTTTGTTTCACCTTCAACCTCCGGCCGGTCGCCAGTCCGGCGACCGGCCAGAGGCGAGGACCGACGAGGTCGGCCCCGCCGGCAGCTGGCGAGGTCGGCCTCGCCGTTGCTGGGGGAGGCCGACCTCGTCAGCGGGCCGAGCCTCGCCGCATCTGCGAAGGTCGGCCCGCCGTGCGGTAGCAAGGTCGGCCTCGCCCGAAGAAAGGCGAGGTTCGGCCCTCGCCCCGACAACGACGAGGTTCGGCCTCGGCCGACCTCGCCACGGTGCCGGCGGGCCGATGGCGAGGTTGGCCTCACCGTTCTTTGGGCGAGGCCGAGCCTCGCCAGGCTGCTGGCGGGCCGACCCTCACCGTGATCTGGTGAGGCTCGGCCCGCCAGGCGAGGTCGGCCTCGTCCAACAACGTCGAGGGTCGAGCCTCGCCCAGTTTTGGCGACGCTCGGCCCCAGCGGCACCGGGCGAGGTCTCGCCTCGCCCGGAATCTGCGGAGGTTCGGCCTCGGCCGACCTCGCCAGTGCCGGCGGCCGAGCCTCGCCAGATCTGGGTGAGGCTCGGCCTGCCGGCCGTCGGCGAGGTTGGCCTCGCCCGAAGAACCGGCGAGGCCGAGCCTCGCCAGCGGGGCAGACCTCGCCGGCCCTCGCCTCTGGCCGGTCGCCGGATCGGCGACCAGCTGGAGGTTGAAGGTGAAAAAAAAAGAAAAGATAAGAAAAGAAAAAAAAAATTCGAAAAAATAAAAATAATATTAAAAAATGGGATGAATAGTAAATGGGGTAGATTTGGGACAAAAGTAAAAGTTTGGGGTTTTTTATTAGACAAAAAAAAGTTTGGGATATATTTGGGACAAAGGCTAAAGTTGGGGGTTTTTTAGGGAATTGGGCTAAGGCTAAAGCTATTTAACACGTCATCAAAGATAAAGCCAAATCCATTTCCATTGTTGCGGTCGGAAAGCCAAATCAGCATAAGTTGAATAGTCATTGTCGTGACCAAACCTCCGCGGATGCACTACTTAAGGATTCGACTAATGGATTATTAAGTCCGAACTTAATTTGGGCCCTTCTAAGCCTTATGAATTCACAACTTAGGATTTAAGTTTTTAACATGCAAATGTTTTCATGCTGGAGTCGCCACTAATCTATTTGCGGCGAATCGATTAGAAACCCAAATAAAACATAGGGAGATATGTTTTATTTCTACAAACCAGAGATTTTGAGTTCGGAGACTGGTTATGCTAGATTACTCTAACACCCTTTCGGAATCTTTTCTTTTCATGAAAATGTTTAAACAGGCAGTCTGGATCCATTTTATTACCTAGCTGTCAAAATGTGGGCTGACCATGCGGGTGCGCAATCCACCAATATAACACCCAATAAAGAAAGCAATAAATAAATTGCAAGATTAGGAGAATAACGTACCTTCAAAGTAAGGTAAGCATGTGCATTGTTAGCTAGAAAATCACATCAACAATCCTAATATGATTTCTAATTAACAAGCAATTCACTCAATATATTTTTTTAGGGTTTTTGCTTATTTAAATGAAAGCTAACCTACGTCAAAGTATGACATGCGTTTAAATAAACCTAACATGTAGGCTATATGACATGCGATTAAATGACCAAATTCTAATGACAGGCAAATGATGTATTTTTGTATTTTTCATTAAAATTCGGAATAATAAAAACGCCTAAAATGACATGCAATCTATTCTAGAAAAACACTCTATCTTATTCCAAAATGACTTCTTTTTGGATTTTTTTTTTATGAAAATTCGAAACCAGAAAATATCCTAAATAATCCATTAAGACTAGAATAATCCCTAATTTAAACTAGGAAATAAGCTACCCTAAATCGCAATTTTAATTAGAAAAATATCCCATCTTTTAGATATACCCGGGATAGCCTAAACATGCAATATCTCTAACTTAAATCCTAACTAATATTTTTGGATTTTCTTTTATTTCAAAAATAAAGCAATCAAACAAAGGATAGCAATCCCTTACCAAAAAAAAAAAAAAAACCTTACCAAAAAAAACAAAGGATAGCAATCGCACTCAAACAATCCATGCAATCCGCAAAGTTTATTTATCATGTTCAAATTAGGAAAACGATTCGAGCTAACGATTATATCTATATTGGTCATAGATATCAATGGAAAGCTGACCGTTTGAATTTGAAAAGCAAATAAGATATATTATCATATCGAAGTCGTTATGGATAAGATAACAATCTTCCGTACCGCCGCGTATCATACTTTGGGTTAAGGTCAGATAATGTCCAGGTACGTTGTTAAATTAGGAAAAATTCCTAATTTGGTGTATTTTCGAATATTGCGGATATAGCACACATTATCTCTAAAATATCTAGCAATCCACAGAATATTCACAAACTATTTAAAATATTCGAAAGTCAGGAAATTAAATATTTAAAAATATTCGAATAACGATCTTACCTAATTTGGGGATATTTCCAATTCGAACTCGGATGGGGCTCGGGATCGCGGATCGGGACGGTGGCCGACGGTGAGGAACTGACGATGGCGGGATTGGGACATGGCGGCGGCATGGGCTCGGGCCTCGGTTCAGCAGGCGCATCGGGCACGGCCAGGGACAGCTTGGCAAGACTGGGCACGGAGCGACAGCGGCAGGGCAATTGGCAACAGGGCTCGTCGGGCACGGGGCTTTAGCGGTGCGGCAAGGGCATGGCTAGGCATGGATAGGTGTGGCTCGGGGAGTGGTCGCGAGAACCGGTCAAGCGGGAATAGTAGCAGGCGGGCCTATGCGACAGGGCACACGGGCATGGGTGGCCGAGCGACAGATGCAGTCGATCGGGCACACGGGCGCTGATGGCGGTGACGGCACAGGCACGAGTGATAGCGGAGCTTGGCCGGTCCCTCTCTCTCTCTCTCTCTCCCTTTGGCTCTCACTATTACTCATGTGTTTCACTCTTGTGTGTTCTGAAAATTATGAGCACTCTCCCCCATTCCAAGGAGTATAACGACATATTTATATCTAAACCTACGTTAATTGGCTGGGCTTTTATAATATAATGGGTTTTAACCTAGTTTTTCTATTTAATTCCTCAGTGGGCTGAATTATTTCGGACTATTCTTTAATTAAAGTTTAATGGGCTAATTTGAGCTCAAATTAAGACAACCGAGGCCGCTTTTACCCTTGAGATTTTCGGCCCCTATTTCGTTAGCTTGGCTGAGTATTGCTCGATGTGCGAGCTAGACTCGCGAGGCTAACTTTAAGTTCATTCGCCACTGTCGGCCTAATGCAAAATGCAATTATATGGGCATAAATACTAATTCAAATGCTCCTAATCTATATGCAATTTAACTAATTTTTTTCTAGGGACCGGGATCGATCCCTAATTTTTATGCAATGAACAACTAACTGGATCTCCAAAATTTAGGTGTCAACAGTCGTACGAACTCGAGCGGGATGATGTCGTTATCCTGTTGTCTCTTTCGTCGGAGTGGAACATTTGTGGAACATCTGGTTCCAAAAGTGGGTTGGAGATGAACTCAGCATCGAGAATTGCCCTATTTGTATACCGTTTCAAACGTGGATTAAGAAATGTACGTGGGAACAAGATTACATTCACGAAAGTCACCGGATCCAAGGATCTCACCATTCGGATCACACGGTACCTTGTATGATTTTTAGGGCACGCGTGATAATCATTCTGTTTATATGTTGAAATTTATTTGGTAACACAATTCCATTTTTCAATTTCTTGAACAAATTTTGATTTCAGAAATAGGTTT